GAAGAACTGCACATTACCTTGCATATTCACACATTCATGGGAAACTGAGACATCAGCAGAAATTTTGGACATTCAAGGAATGCAGGGTCCAACATATAGCATCACAGCAAAGCACTTTCAAGAGATTTTTCATCCTTCATGTTAACAGTGTTGAAATATATTCATAATGTCTTGTTTTAAATAACACGGGGGTGAGGGGAGAGAGTGCATGTGCATGTATGTGTGTGCACATTTGTGTATATATATATATTTGAAATAAGTAATGAAGACATGAAACCTTAACAGCTAGATTGTACAACCCTAACCCATGCTGGTGAGCGCTGCCATGAATGTCCTGTTGACTTCATTGAGTAAGGGTTGCGCAATCTAACCAACAATTAGTTACTCTCTTATGTTGCAGTTATCTTAAAAGATATATTCCTATAAGGCCCTCCAGGTCCACCAGAAGATGTTAGAGTTGAACATATTTCTAGCACTACTGCTCTGCTATGCTGGAAACCAGGAGCAGATAATAACAGTCCAATCCAGATCTACAGTATTCAGACAAGGACTCCTTTCTCGGTTGGATGGCAGGCAGTTTCAACAGGTAAGCAGTTTGAAATTTCTGCCTCATTTTCTTGTATGGTTTGCTTCAGTGGAGCATTTTCATTTATGCGTCTTGTTGGTGTGTAGTTCCCGAAGTTCTGAATGGCAGGACCTACAGAGCATCAGTGGTCGGTTTAAATCCTTGGGTTGAATATGAATTCCGTGTGGTTGCTGGCAATATTATTGGGATTGGAGAGCCCAGCAGACCATCTGAGCTATTAAGGACTAAAGCAGCAAGTAAGTGTTCCTGGTTTGTATCAGTGCTTTCAGAAACCTCTGAATCACCAATATGTTTTATTTGAAGAAATGACATTGGGCTATGGAACCATTTAAGGCTATTGATGCCGAAAAAGGTTTATCTAGTGAGCTTTGGATCAAAGCTTTGAGATTTTAGCTCTGACAAGCATTTTGTGTCAGCTCTTTTCAGAACATCATGTACTCATTCAGTCCTCATGAAACTCCTGTGGTCTCAGTTGAGGATATACCTTCTTACATCTGGGCTAAATTTGGCGCAAAAACAAGCTGTAAATTCTGGTAATGTTGACATCCAATTACAGATCCTGTTTTCTGCCTGTTGTGATGGTGAGCATACATCTTGCTCACTGGCTTGTATAGAAAGTGTTCCATCTCCATGACTAAAACCCTAACTGTAGTATACGTTTTACTGAAGGTTTTGCCAACAGCTCAACCAGTATCGGGGGTTAGCTGGAAAAATAATTTAGGTCCTCAACCAAAATCTAATAGGCTTGTTTCTATTGATTTTAGTGGCCATTGCATCAGGCCTTTAGTTATAGTCATCACATGTTTCCCTTGGGAGCCCGATTCACCCTAGGACACCACCTGCCCTTTGAATTCCTACATTTGGATGCCTGTCCAATATCATATGTTTGAATCCCTAACTCACTTTGCTTTATCCCTCTGAGTGCTCTGCTAATCTAGGTCTCTTACCTTTGAAACGTGTTCAGAAAACAGGAATGAATGTGGGAAAATTTGCCCTCTCTCTTCTGTACCAAATTCACTTGTCATGCTCTGAAGCTTGGCAGGCTGTGTTTCAAGACTGACCTTACAACAGTGGCAGTGAAATCAAAATAGACCAGCCTATAATCTGTGGAAGTGTCTCATCAGTTCCAGTGGGCTTTGGACCATGTCCTCGTGGCTTACCTTCTTCACTGCTGTCAAGCATTCCAGCTACTCTATGCATGGGCTGAGGAAACCTTCATGCTGCCAGATACAGTAGGCACAGCCTCACATTCATTCCATAACAGAATTCAAAACTATCTGTGACAATATAGCAGGACCTGCAAAAGACTAGCCATGAAAGGGTAAAATGAATTTCCCTGTTATAATAGCTATTTTGCGAGCTAAAATCCGATTGAGCATTAGTAGATGTGCGGATGCAAATGAGCCACTGCTCATTTCATTAAAATGGAGCTGAGAATTAATTGAGCCTCCGTTGGTGCACTCAACCGTAAATTTTCATCTGTTTCTCAACTATGACCCAGTTGAGGCTCTGCTGAGCAGTAGTATAAATTTTCTCTCCATGCAAGTGTAGTAAATACTGAACTCATTTAGCACATGTGCTAATTGAGCATCAACTGGTTCATGGAACAGTGGAATGTTAGTTGAGCCTGGCTGGAAAATCATTTTCTTTGTTTATCCTTTCAGTTTAATCCCCCTTTCCCCCATCTTAAACTCCTTAACTCTGATACATATAATGACACTGGATATACAAGTACCACCATTTAACCATTTGTAGTAAGTTATCTGGAAAGAAAAAAAACTGACTTGACACCATTATACATTCATGACTGTCCTTGATTTTAAAAAAAGAGAGACTGAATTCTCCAAAATTAAACAATTAAATGGTCTGGCACCATTACACTGAGAAGTTAAGTAAAAGGCAGGGGTTTTGAGGTTAAAACTGAGCTACAGAACTTACAATGGTGGGAGAGAGGGAGATTGTGTCTAATTTTTTAAACTCATTGAGAGGATAAAGCCTCAAATTGGAATTAGAATTGGACTCAAATCTCTAGCTAGCATGTGGTCTTATATTTGATTAACAATATAAACCATAACAATGTATATATATGCTTCTTGATTTAATAATACCTTCCTTGACAATTAATCCTACTGAGGCATAGAGTGTTGCATTGCATCTCACACAAAAAGTCAAATCCTATTCACCCTCAAGTGCTTAAGTGACACTTATATATGACTGCCAGAAGCAAAACTGAAGTGGAAGCCTTCTCATCTTTTTGCCTAAGAGCCTAGTGGTTAGAGTACTTATTAGGGATGTGTGAAGTGGGCAGTATTCAATTCGGATTTGGCCTGATTTGGGGGACAATGATTCGATTCATGGATTCAGATTACTGTCCCGATTCAATTCAGCTGAATCTGAAGATTCGATTCTGATTCAGAGACAGCGATTCAGCCATAGACACAGCTTTATATGTTTTTCTACATACCTCAAGGTAGCAGGTGTGGCTTGTGAATGCTGAGATGGTGGGGCATATAGAGCGTCCCACAGGAGTGTGGGGAGTCCCACAGGAGTGCGAGGAGTCCCCTGTGCACTCAGTGGTGGACCTGGAAGGGGACCAGAAGTTTTTCCAGAAGTGGGTGAAAAACAGACGCTGCCCTGGAGGGGAGGGGGCCCCAGGCTCTAGTTTGTCCCCAGTGGAGATGCAAATTCAAACCTTTTCTGAGGAAGCCTTGGAAATATCTTTGCTTGCATTTACCAGACTCAACTGAAACCAAGGACAAATCACTACCATTAAAAAAAAATTACTCCAGTTGGGCACAGTAGCAAAAAGCTAAAGTAATACAGTGATAAATGAGGCCTGTTATTAATTAGCCTCTTGTGGTCCTTTCTTCAGGGATGGGGAAAAAAATCATTTCTTTTAAGTTCTGAGCTTCCTAAGAAAAAGAAGAACATTGTTAATTAAAAAATTAATATATTGCTCCAACAACATGTTTACTGCACAAATGCATAATTAGTAAATCAGTAGTGTTGCAGCTACAGTCTGAATGGAACATCATTTTGCCAATTAGTTGATGAGGCATAATAATGTCAGATACTTGATGTTACTAGGTTCTTTAATTAATTTTTTGAACCAGGGTACTCATGTATCAAACACATCTGTGTCCTTAGCCTCAAAACCTTGGGAAAGTGTAAATATAATTTCAGTTCATTTGAAGTATTCTATTGTAGCCTTGCATTAGCTTTTGAAAGGCAGACGAGCTATATACAAAGAGCAGGTGTATTATGACACAGCAATTGACAATGTACTTGGTAATAGATTTTGTTAACTACAATCCACAAATATCCTTTGTTTGTTAGTTCCTGTAGTGGCACCAACAAATGTGAGTGGAGGTGGAGGGAGTCGTTCTGAGCTTGTCATCACATGGGAGGTAATTTTTTTTATTAAAGTCTATTAATCGAAATGGTTTGTTGGAGGTAGAAAGGAGAAAGGTGAAAAAAAAGGTTGGCGATGGTTGGGGAGGTCGGGGAGGTGAAATCTCGGCCCTATTGAAATCAATTGGGTTTTGTCGTTGACTGTAGCTGAGTCAGCATTGCATCTCAGGTCTAGCAGAGAAATGTTAAGAAAGATACGGAACAAGTTTTCTTTGTTGCTGTTAACTTATGAAAATAAACAGTGTAAGAGGCACATTATAAAAATGTTTAGAAGACTATATAACTCTCTTATCTCCATTATACAGAAGGCATCATAACACACAAATCCGCTAGGCTATTTTCTGCATTAAACATTTTTCACACTTCTGTTTACATGCTTGTCTTTCAAGAAATATTATGCTGACAAGACATACCCTATAATGTGTTAAAGGAGATGAGGACTTTAATTCTACAACACTCAAATAGGAGTAGACATAATACAATACTAAAAACTGCATTGTGTGAATGCAAGTCATTTCAATGTGCAGAAATTAAGCTTAATATAACCTACTCCAAGCCCTTCCCATACCACTCTGTAGACAAGCTGCTACCATATGCCCAGAAGACAGATATCAAGAGGAAATTGCTTGGCTGGGAGACCCGGGCAATTAGGCTCAGTCTGAGTTAGAGCTCTGTAACTTCTTGTGGAATCACTGCTAAACATTTAAATATTATCCCCTTTCCTTTTGGGACTTTCATTATGAGAATACAAAAAAGTGGTTGAGACTATAAAAAACGTCACATCACAATTAACTGGAGTTACCTACCTAAATATGTTAGTTGTCTTTGAAAATGTCAACCTAAATCTAAATTTTTGAAAAAGAGGCTACCTATCGTAAGTACCCAGACTGTAGGGCAATGGCCATGCACGTACTCCACACTGGGCGCATCTACACATGCTATTAATACTATAAAGGCTTAATGCACAGTAAAAATACTGCCTAGTAAGCCTTATGAAAACAAACAGTGTAAGAGGCACATTTTTACGGCACAGTAAAAATACTGCCTAGTAAGCCTTACCTGGGAGCACATCTACAGGTGCTCTCTCTTGGAAGCAAATCTGCTCCCAACAGGAGCTGCCTAGTACAGAACTGCTCCTACTCTGCTCTGGCCCCCTGTAGCAGCCAGAGGGAGCTCCAGGCAGCCCCACAGTGGTAGCCTGGGGGCTGGTCTTTATGCACATGGGACGAGGAGAGCTCTGCTAGCTGCAGCAGGAGGGATCCAGGGCCGGGAGACAGCTGCTGCAGGGCTCTTTTAGCCCTGTGCACATGGGGAGAAGCCCCATGCCCAGCTGAGGACTACATAGAGAAGCAAGGAGCTCCACATCCCAGCGCGGCTAGGCTACCCTGTCCTGGCACTGCTTGGCTCCCAGCTCCTGGGGGGGAGCCAGGAGCTGAGCAGCACTGGGACCAGGGGAGTTCCACATCTCCTGTGGCCTCCTGGTATCAGGGCTGACAGGAAACAAGTTTGCTCCTGGTCAGCATCTACTCACGTGCTACTGTGCAGTATCTACTACACAGTTAGTTTACTACCTGTATTTACAGGTAGTAGCTGACTGAACAGTAGACTAATTAACTGCACAGCAAATGGTTCGCGTGTATAAACGGTGACATTTTACTGTGCAGTAGATTAGTCTCCTGCACAGTAAAGTGTCTCATGTAGACACACCCACAGTGTAGGACAACATGACAGAGTATGAGTCTGTCTTAAATGCTACAAGATGAAGCATGTTTCATTCTCTTTTAGGAGCAAAACAGCTGCTGAAGTCAATGGAATTTGAGAGGCTCTTGAACCCACAATCCTCCCTGTCTAACTGCACGCAAAATTGGTTTCCTCTCCTCATGCATTCGACTTTGAAAATATCAAAACTGTCACAGTACAATTAACTGGAGTTACCTCCCTAAATATGTTTTCTGGTAAAGAGTAGGAAACTCTGAGACCATAAGTAGACTGCAATTAGGGAGCAAAGGAAGACCAATTAAAAGGGGCAATTTCCATAACTGATGACCAAAACAAAGATGGTTTTATCCACAGTTGACCTTATGTTACCAAATCATGACATATCAAAGTGATATGAATAATAATTTTCTCATTTTTCCCCCCCAAATACAACTTTCAATGTTTGTGCTTTCCCTTCCTCTGGCTATTTGCTATAGGAGAGGGGGAAGAGGGGAGAACTTCTACACATGCCCACATCAAATTATCCTTATTTTAAACCTAACATGTTGAATTCTATAATCTGTCCTGAGGAACAGCCATAGGAAACGCTCATTATAGCAGGCTAACAACACTGAACACAAGTCTTCTTTCTGTGAGGAACTGACTAACCAACCTGATTAAATCTAAGGTCAAAGAAGCCTCAAAAACAAATTAAATGTACTAAGAAAAGTGGCTTAAACTCTGGTAACCCCCTCAGACATTATCCTTCACAGCAAACTCTGTCAATCCCAAGGAAGAAGTAGAGAAGGAAAATGTATTTCAGTGAATTTTGAGGATTAATATACTTTTAAAGGATTTCAAGGGTAACAAGTGTTTTTATATGTGCTACCACTACTATTGTTTGATGAATTGCTTATTATATGCTTAGAGTCAATTAACGAGAACAGAGTAAAAATGGTCCTCAAGAAACACTTCTATCCTCTTGTATTTTTTCTTCATTTTTTTACAATATTGCTCATCGCAGTGGTTTTTGCACAGTGTAAAGCTTTGGAGCGACAAGTCAGGACTCATTGAAGGTGTTGCCATTCCCCATAGCCCTGACTCTACCTCCTGTTTTTCTAGAACTTTGCATGGCTGCTTTTCAGAGCGTGTTTGATGTGAACATTTGCAATACATGATATATAGCTAAGGAACACATCCTGCATAATGTCCATCATGTAGCACTGATCCCTTCACTTTCATGTTAAAAATATTACACAAATGTTCTCTTGCATTGAGAAGCCAGCATGGAAGTATTTTTATCTCAGGAAAAGAGTGCACAGTGGATTCAGTGCCAATGGAAGTGCCTGCTCAGTGAGAGTCATTAATACGCATCTTGACAGGACATTTTATTAAAAAAAGCATTAATTTTGCCATGTAGACTTGCAATAACATGCCTATGCCAAACAAAGTTAAAGAAGGGCATTTTTGTGCTCCTGAGATTTGTGCTTATGCTAAAAAATTAAAATAAAGTGGTGTGCTTGTAAGTGTGCAATTATGCAATTGACATCTACTTATGTATATACATTTGCTCATTTCTGGATTCTTTTCTCTTTATAAATCTTCTAAAATTAGCAGTTCACTCCCTCTGGGAGAGAAAAATCCAAATACAATCTGAGCAGAGTGAAATGCTTTTAATTTTAAAAACTTCATACTTGAAAGAGCATGCTCTTAATGGGTCTGATCCACTCTTTGTTTCTAAATTGATTGCCTCAATAGATTTATTATTTTGATTTTTATTTCAATATTACATTGACAGATGGAGCAAACATTATTATCTTCTCTAAGGCACAGTCCAGCAAATCAATACAACTAAAATATACTGATAGAATGAAGATTCAATTAAAACAGTGTATACTTGCAAATGCTTATTGATTGATTTCCCCTATCATTGTAGTCAGTTCCTGAAGAACTACAAAATGGAGAAGGTTTTGGTTACATCATTATGTTTCGGCCACTTGGTTCAACCAGCTGGACAAAGGCAGTAGTGGCTTCAGTAGAAGCATGCAAGTACGTCTACAGAAATGAAAGCGTTATTCCTCTCTCCCCTTTTGAAGTGAAAGTGGGTGTCTACAACAACGAAGGAGAAGGGACCCTGAGTTCCATATCCATCATCTACTCAGGGGAAGATGGTAAAAGCTTTTTCTGAAATTACTGTTATGATTAAAGTGTTTAAAGTAGCATTGGTAGGCTCCACCCATGATCAGAACACAGTTGTGATAAGCACTATACACGTAGAGTGAGAAACATCAATTTCTTTTGAGGCAGGGGCTGAGACAGCACCCCCATTTTTCAGATGGAGACTTGAGATGAAAGACCGGATTTCCAGATTTACTCAGGTCTCATTTAGGTATCTGAATTACAGCCATATATGCAAAAAAGTGCTCAGCATCTAGCAGCTTCCACTGGGTCGATTCAGCATAGGACAAAGAGGCAACAGATGACATACTGTTCAAAAACACTGAAATACCAAATGTTTGTAAATCTGGCCACACATTCTGGTGATTTGGTGGAAGTTGAGCTTTTCTGAAAATCTGGCTCAAGTTGTGGATGGCAAGCCCGTTTGAAAATCATGTTGGGCCAAAGTCATATATCATGTGTATGGCAGAGCCAGAAATTCAAATCAGAATCCCTAAGCCACAGGTCATACAACTTGACTTCCCTGTTTCATATTTCTTTCACTTTTAATATATTTACTTTCTGATCAAATGCTATATCCTGTCCATGTATTATAAATGTGACTTTTCTTTCTTCTGATCCCAGAGCCGCAAATAGCACCAGCAGGAGCTTCTGCACAAAGCATTTCGGCTTCTGAAATAGAAGTCTCATGGAATTCCATTGCTTGGAACAGACATACAGGAAGAGTGCTTGGCTATGAGGTGATGCACACAAAAATCAGTCTTAGATGTATATATTTATTTGGCGAGATAGTTATCTCAGACTGCACTTGCAGTATCATTTTCCAGAGCATGCACATTCTAGTTTGTCTTCCATTTCAGTGCATTAACAGGTGGTGATCTTCCATTGATTCTCATTAGCAAGTTTATGAAATCCCAACTCTTTACAGTCCACTACTGCAGTTCTGCATAAGCCTTTTCATAAGGTAAATTCAAGCCTTGTGAACAGAAGTCAGGCATACTCATTTGTGATGACTACTACAAGAGAACTAGTATTTAACTCTAAAAAACACAACTAATCTAGCCACCCAGTCCTATACAATAAACACTGCTACAGTAACTACAGCATTGTTCTGGGAAATGTGGATGGGCCAAAGCACACAGTTTGATATTAGGTAGGGGTGTACGAAACGGGCCGTATTCGATTCAGAGTCAGCCCAAATTGGGGACAATGTTTCAATTTGTTGATTTGGATCACTGTCCCCAATTCAATTCATCCAAATCCAAATCTGAGGATTCAATAGTGATTCAGAGAATCAGTGATTTTGCCATAGACACAGCTTTAAATGTTTTTCCTACATAGCTCGAGGTACCAGGTGCAGCTCATGATCACTGTGACTGGGGCAAGTGGAGCATCCCACAGGAATGTGCCCCCCCACCATCTGCTCAGTGGTGAACCAGAAAGTGGACCAGAAGTACAACCGCTCAGTGATCAGTCACAGGGGGACCCTGGGTGCCCCTGCAGACCCAAGAATCACCAGTCACTGAGTCGGGGAGGTGTGGGGGGGGGGGCCCTTGCACACTCCCCGGGGGGACCGGAAGTGCTTCTGGTCCACTTCCGGGTCTGCTGCTGAGTGCGCTGGGGAGCCCCCTGCACTCCTGTGGGATGCTCCATATGCCCCACCATTGCAGTGTTGATGAGCCACCTGGTACCTTGAGGTATGTAGAAAAAACATTTAAAGCTGGGTCTATGTCCGAATCGCCGAATCTTTCCAAATCTATTCGGAGGGTTCCAATTTCAATTCTTGATTCAATTTGAATTCAGAGATTTGGCCACCGAATCAGACCAAATCTCCGCCGCATTGAATTGGGGACTGAAGCTTCTCCCAGCCCTAATATTAGACCACCAATAAAAAAAAAAAAATGTTTGAAATTGTAACAGTGTCCATTTATCCCCTGACAGTTCTGTAGGTTATCTGAAATACACCAGGGTTTTGATTCCAGGTCCTATTGAACTGCCGTCCCCATAATGAAAAAATCCAGCACATTTCTCTCTAGTTTGAATCTCAGTTGGCTTCTTCTCATATTTAGTGGGCTACCTACAACTAATACCCCAGTGCTACACTATTGATATCAATAGACTTGCATGGGACATAAAGGAGGGAGGAATTGATCCCATGAACTGACATTTTCAAGATTGAATTAGGGAATGTTTCCAGATGAGAGGAAGGAGGCTGAGTTTTTATTATTTGTGCTGTCCCTGCTCTGAGTAAACTGAAAGATGACTGTGCGTATGCATATAAAAGGAAGCAGTAGGCATGTACAATATATAAATCTTACTAAAACAAACAGCCGTCAGAGGAGACCAAGGAGGTAAATAGTTGCTATTGACTACATTTAAGAAACATAATAATTAAAATCTTCCTTGATTATTGATATAAATGTCTCATTGCATCTTTCTTTTCTTCAAACACACTCAACTTGTAAAACTAGAAAAGCTTTTAAAATTTCTTATCTTATCAAAGTTTTTCTTTTGGACAACTTAAAAGATTAGGATTTCTCATTTGCTTTCCTAAGTTGTATTCAGGCTCTGAAATTTTATTTCTTCACTATAAATATTCATGCTTAATTTTATTTCCTGACAGTTTCAATTACAAAATGTGCTGTCTTCCTTGAAACATTAGTTGTTGGCTTGTCTCCTTTCCAATCAAGTCCGTAATTGGTGGAAAACAATGAACTGCTTGTTCTTTGCTCTAATATTTAGGTTTTATACTGGACAGATGATTCCAAGGAAACCACAGCTGGCAAAGTCAGAGTCAGTGGGAATGTAACTGCAAAAAACATCACCGGACTAAAGGCCAATACAGTATATTTTGCAACCATAAGGGCTTACAACACTGCTGGGACAGGGCCATCCAGCACCCCAGTTAATATTACTACCAAGAAATCACGTAAGTAATTTCATACACACGAACTATAGAAAGATCACCAAAATGCTGTAGTCTAATATTAAACTCACTACAGTGCATCACTGGTGAATTTGCGAAAGTCGATCAGTATGGGGTACCAGTTAGTTTCACAGAATTAAACAATGGATTTAGGAATAAAATAATAAACTAGGGATTTTCTTTCCTGCTACATTATAAGTTCAGGTTTGTTTGTTTTTCTTTATGAATTCAGGTTGCCCTCATTAAAAAGTCAGCATTTACCAACTGTTTTCTACATTGTGGTATCTGAGATGGCAATGCCAATTCAACATATATAACTCCTGGCAAGTCCTCCAGTGACATCCTGGCCCTATTGCATTCTATGGCAAAACTCTTATCCACTTCAGGGGTAACTTCTGAAGATTATTTTATCTATTCTATTCTGTCTGCATCCCCAAGTTAAGAATAGACTATAGCGCCGGCATTTCAGTTCCTTCCAACTATTGATAAACATTTACTTTTGAACAGCAATTATGTGCTGTGTCACTACATATTTTCATATGAGATTTCAAGAGATGGAGAGTCAATAAAGAAAAAAAAAAAAGGTACTTCCACATGGCAAGCAACCATATTGGGAATCAGGAACATGTGCTTTGTGAATATAGTTGCTAAATATTACTAGTTAGATGGCAGAGGAGGGCAGGGGAATTCTTTGATATATCTTATGACTGAAGATAAATATATTTAATAGATTCATGTGTGTAGGTAGAGTACTCATCCGTCCTTTACATTTTCCATAGTAACAGAATAATTACAAATCATTCCACTACTTTTCTGAGAACACTATCCCAAGGGGCCAAAACTGATAATGTCTTAGGAGCCCATCCTCCGAGATACTTAGGAACTCTATAGGCATCAGACACTAAATGGCTCTGTGGAAAAGATCTGTATCAAAGATATTCAGTAAAATTTCTGATTTATTCTTGATAAGTCATTTCCAAAATTGAAAAGAAAAACCCCACACATGTAATGGGTCCGCACAGCCAAATACTGCAATAGTGTTTAGTAGCAGTTCTATACAGTTTTGAACGGATTTTCTTAAGGAATACGTCATTTCAGTGGTTCTGACTTGCAAGGGAAAAAAATAACTCCAGGCATAAACCTGGCAGAGAATCTGGAAGGTTGGAATAGCCTTGAAGCGAAACATATTGGCAACTAAGCACCACCAAACGATTATTTAATATGCAGTCCTCTGATCTATTCTGACTGCTCACAACTGCTGCGCTACACACTTCTCATCAAGACAAAATTATAGAGATTTCTCTCTCTTTTTCTCCAAGAAATCTTAGAAAAAATAGAACTGAAGTGGAGTCCTTACCCTATTGTTATAGCTCCTATGAAAAGCTCTTGATATTCTCAAGCCTTTACTCCATTGCCTGAGAAAGTCAGGTGTCTGAACAATCTTGAAATGCTATGGGAGCTGGCCATTTCATTACACCAAATGAAAGTCTCATCGTTAGGATATAGGAGAAGACCAAACAGACCCACTCATCCATTCTCAGATTACAGTTAACATCATTCATCCTCAATGAAGCCTGTTGTCAAAGCCCCTATTTCTTTATTCCTCCCTCAAATTTTTACTTCATTGATCTACACCCTTTAATATTAAGAAATGGAATGAGAGCATTTCACTGGTTTTGTGGGAGAGCAAAAATTCGTATCCTAACCCCACTGTTTTTTGTTGCTTTCGGTCGCCCAAACAGTTTGTCCTCCTTCTCAAACAATTCACCAGAAGTAGGTCTAAAAACAATTTGTACCCACTTATGCTGTAAATTGAATATTTTTTTCCTGCTGCAAATTATCTGTGAAGAGATTGTGCCATAAGCAAATATATGCACAATTCAAAACGATTATTTTTTGTGGGCAAGTGTTCAGCCTGTGGTTTGCTTGTGAACTGCGTGCTGCCTGTG